AAAAAAAAAAAAAAAAAAAAAAAAAAAAAAAAAAAAAAAAAAAAAAAAGAAATAGAATACAATAGATTAGAAAATATCAAGAGTTCATTAAGCATAGTAAGGCTAAGTACTCCTGCCTGAAAATGTTTCTATGCGTTTACTAGGTCACAATAGAAAATGCCTTCCTTATTGTGGATTTTGGCAAACAACATTGCTATAACATCCATTTTTAAATCGCCATCGACATCAATGTGGATAACAAGTTACACAGCAGACCAAGTACTCTGGGAGCTGTAGAAGGAGAAAAATATATGTGTACATATTAAACAAATAATGTGAGAGTGCAGCCTTATAACACTGAGACCTGTATCAGCCAGCTGCCTATAAATAAATAAATAAATAAGTATATTGGTTATGACATCATTCATTTATTACACAAATATTTATCAAGTACCCATTTGATAGCAAGCATTACTTTAGGTAATGATTGTTTACATGGTTAGTATTACTAGAAAGAAATGTCTATCCAAGGCTTAGTCCTTTGAAAAGTGAAGTAACACTTTAATAAAAGGCATATAAAAGAGATGTAAATATATTTTGAAATATTATTGCTTCCTCTCTTTTCCTAGGGGGAAAAAAATCAATATTGCTATGGTTTGAATGTTTGTCCCCTCCAAAGCTCATGTTGAAGCTTAATCCCCAATGTGGCAGTGTTGAGAGGTGGGGCCCTCAGGAGGTGATTGGATCGTGAAGGCTCTGCCCATGTGAATGGACTAATCATTCATGGATTAGTGTCTTAATGGATTAATAGGTTATCATGACAGTGGAACTGTGACTTTACAATAAGATGAAGAGACGTGAGTTAGCAGTGTGAGTGTGCTCAGCCCTCTTGCCATGTGATGCCCTGCACCACTTCAGGACTCTGCAGAAAGTCCCCACCAGTAAGAAGTACCTCACCAGATGTGCCCCCTGGACCTTGGACTTCCCAGCCTCCAGAACTGTAAGAAACAAATTTTGTTTCTTTATAAATTACATACAGTTTTAGGTATTCTAAGGAACAGAAAGCTAAGACAATTATATAATCAACATCTCTTTAAACAAAATCTTAAAATTAAATAAAAATAACTAATACGATACATGAGGACCAGAGAAAGTATTTTTGTATGAGCACTAAAAGAAGCAGTGATGAAAATCTGGGCAAAGAAAAAAACAAATGCTATAACATCATTAGAAAACGTACAGGTTCAGATGTACATGTATAGGATAAAAAATATAAATGGCTTAACTGAATCCATTTTCCTACAAAATGAGTTCATTCTTTGTAACACAGAGAAAGTGGTAGGTAGGCTTTTAAAAAAAGATTCTTCTGACATCTTTTAGGTAGTTTATAGCTGTACTGGAAACAGAATGTAGATTTATCTTGTTTAACAAAGCTTATAGCCATTTCTAATATTCAAGTGAGAAATTTATGAATTACAAATATTTGAAATACATGATTGCCTAAACAAAAAAGCATGTGAACTATAAATAATATAAACTATTTGAGTTTCCAAAAAATTAAGGGATATCTACATACAAAAGAATAAGGTTAGGGCCGGCCCGGTGGTGCACTGCTGCTGTGCGCCGCTTGGGAGTGCGGTGGCGCTCCCGCCGAGGGTTCAGATCCCACATACAGACTGGCCGCTCACTGGCTGAGCGAGGTGCGGGTGCTACACTGAGGGTTGCGATCCGTTGCCAGTCACGAAAAAAGACAAAAAAAAAGAATAAGGTTGGACCTCCTGCTTCACACCATATACAAACATTAAATCAAAGGCTAAAACGTTAAAGCTAAAACTACAAAACTCTGAGAAGAAAATATAGGTATAAATCTTTGTTACTATGGATTAGATGATGGTTTCTTAGACATGACATTAAAAGCACAAGCAACAAAGGAAAATTAGATAAAGTAGACTTCATCAAAATTAAAAACTTTTGTTCTTCAAAGGATATCAAGAAAATGAAAAGACCACCCACAGAATGGGAGAAAATATTTGCAGATCCTATATCTGACAAGAGATTTGTATCTAGAATATATTAAAAATCCTTACTATGCACTAATAAAAAGACAAACAACCCAATTAAAAAATGGGCAAAGAATTGGAATAGACATTTCTCTAGAGAAGATCTCTAAATGGCTAATCACAGCATCATTAGAAATCAGGAACGGGCAAATCAAAAGCACAATGAAATACCACTTCACGCACTAGCATGGCTATAACCAAAGACAATAAAAGTGTTGGCAAGGATGTGGAGAAACTGGAACCCTCATACACTGCTTGTAGGAATGTAAAATAGTGCACCCACTTTGGAAAACTTAGATACATTATTTCACCTAAGCTAAGCACTTATCTAAAATATCTTAAATAATTAATCCTTATTCCACTTTCAAAATACCAACATGTTGACTTTGAAATGGAAAAAAATTATAATCCAGGAGTAAGAGAATATTCAAAAAACTTTTAAAAAGTAACAGGGTTTTTGTCCACAGATATTAAAACAATATTGAAAATATGTAAGTCAATATGAAAGTGTCAGTAGGATCAGATGAAGAGATCAATGGATTAGAATAGTAAGTCCAGAAATAGTTTTGAAGAATCAAACCAGTAATGAAGAATGTTGGGCAATTAACTAGTCATTAGAAAAAAGTTTAGGGCCGGCCTGGTGGCGCACGGGAGAGTGCGCCGCTTGGGAGCGCGGCGGCGCTCCCGCTGAAGGTTCGGATCCCATGTGGAGACCGGTTCCCGCTCAATGGCTGAGCGCGGTGTGGGCGCAGCACCTAGGGTTGCGATCCCGTTGCCGGTCCCCGGTATGGGCGCGACACTGAGGGTTGCGATCCCGTTACCGGTCAGTAAAAAAGACAAAAAAGAAAAAAAGAAAGAAAAAAGTTTAAACTCCAGATGGAGTCAAGATTTAAATGTAAAAAAGAAAAGTAATCAGGAGAATGTAGGCAAGTATGTACTATACATAACCTCAGGGTAAGAAGAATTTTCCAAACATGACAACAAAGGCAGACATCAAAGTAAAAGATTCATAGATTTTTAACACAATTTTAAAAAATATTTCTATATAAAAGACTGTCATTAACAGATAATATGCTGAAAAAAAATTGAGAAAAGTAAGATCAAAGGTTAATATACTTAATACATAGAAAACTGTTATTAAACTAGTAACAAAACAAATTCACAAACGGATAAAGGACATGAAACAAAATATAAAACAGTCAACCTCTCCAAGATTTAAAGAAAAGTAAAACTACAATGAGATAACACTCATTAAAATTAAAAACATATATATATAAATAAGAATTCTGACAACATACACACACATAAATAATATTTGATATAGAAAGTTGATATAACAAGCACTTAAGCTATGTTGCCTAGAGTATAACATGGATGGCCTTCTACTGGCCAATATGACAATATGTAACAAAAACCTTAAAAATGCTTTTGCCCTCTGATCCAGCAATTCTGCTTCTGTGATTATCTCCTAAGGAAATGAAAATAAGATATTTGTTACAGTGGTATCTGTAGTAGTCAAAAGTTGAAACCACTAGCCTAAATATCCAACAAAAGGAGCTGGTTCAATAAATTATGATATGACTCAAATAAAAGAATAGCAGACTGCCATTAAATATTGTAAAAGTTTATTACTAGTACATAAAGTTGCTTATAACATGCTAAGTGAAAAAAAGCAAGTAGCAAAACAGTGCATTTGTTATATATCCACTTTAAGAATTCATACAGGTATTCAAAATAATCTGGAAGGACATATACAAGGTGTCAGCAGCTTGCTTTTGGTAGCGTCGGATTTATAATTCTGATTTTTTGGTTGTTTTCTTTTTGTGTATGTGTTCTTTAAGTACATGTTTTGTTTAGTAATAAAAATTATTTAAAATTAACACAACTTAAAAATAGTTTGATTCACATTTACTTGTGTTTTAGTTAAGAATTCCTAAACTGGGTGAATTTGAATATGCAGTGGATATTAGGAAATATAATGGAACTATGGAGAAGGGGACCAGAACCCCCTCCCACAACCAGGCACACAGCACTAGTGCCTCGGGGCCCACCCAGGGACCTGAGTCATGGAGAAGGGGACTGGACCCCCCTCCCACAACCAGGCACACTGCACCAGCGCATCAGGGTCCACCCAGGGACCCGAGTCATGGAAAAGGGGACTGGACCCCCTCCCACAACCAGGCACACTGCGCCAATGCCTCGGGGTCCCAGGGACCTGAGTCATGGTAAAGGGGACCGGACCACCCTCCCACAACCAGGCACACCACGCCAGCACCTTGGGGTCTGCCTGGTGACCTGGGGCATGGAGAATGGGAACGGACCTCCCTCCCAAAACCAGGCACACTGTGCCAGCACCTCAGGGCCCGTCCAGTGACCCAAGGCATGGAGCTAGGGACTGGACCCCCCTTCCACAACCAGGCACACTGTGCTAGAGCCTTGGGGCCCTCCCGGGGACCAGAGGCATGGAGAAGTGGATCAGACACACCCCACAACCTGGCACACCACCAGCGCCAAGGAACATGCCAAAAACATCACCTCCATGTGGGTGGACCACCACAACCACCACAATAACCATGCCTGCCACGAAAGTGGCTAGACACCACAACCACCATGCAGATGGTCCACCAACCACTGGAGTGCATTGACACAAGGAGAGTCATCAGCAGAGATAAGAGGATGTCTCTCTCCACAAAGCCCATTTCAGAGTGACAGAAGAAGCATCTGCTCTATGATAATATTGGGGGACCTGAGCACACCTCTCAGCATTGGACAGATCACCTAGGCAACAAATTAACAGAGCAACCATTATTCTTTAAGAAGGAGAGAAAAAATCTAGGGTAATTAGAGGGGAAAACGGGGAGGAAGAGGGGGATGGGGAGAGACCGGACAAAGAGCATAAAGAATAATTATGATTTGTAACAATATGTGTGCTAGTAATATTGATTTGATCAACATATCTCAATGTTGAATCCCAAAAATATGTATAATCAATTTTTATTCAATAAATAAAATAAATTTAAAAAAAAAAAGAAAAAGAAAAGCATGTGACCAAGATGGGCCACAATAATTGACCCAGAAATGATCACGCAACCCGAGCCAGCCTAGTCTAGGCCTTTCCTTGGGATTGTTCTGACAGAACTTGCAAGTTGAATCCCAAAAATATGTATAATCAATTTTTATTCAATAAATAAAATAAATTTAAAAAAAAAGAAAAAGAAAAGCATGTGACCAAGATGGGCCACAATAATTGACCCAGAAATGATCACACAACCCGAGCCAGCCTAGTCTAGGCCTTTCCTTGGGATTGTTCTGACAGAACTTGCAAGCGGACCATGTTCTCTGCCATGTAAATAAAGTCTATTTACAAAAGGAAAAAGTGAAGTCAAGTTGAAACAAAAGAGAAAAAAATAAAAGGGAGAGAGATGATATAGGTACATATATAGAGAGAATCCAATTAGGTCAAGTGCCTGGTTCTAGTGCCTGGTTCTAGATCCACAAAGCACTCTGGTTCTTGAAGCTTTTCTTTTGACCCTTAACTTTCAGTCCAGTATATTCCCTTTTCAGTCACTTGCAAATAAAAGCGTTATAACCAATATAATTCATTCCATTACAAATAAATTCCCCTACATCTCCCACCAAACATTCCCTCTGACCAGTAGTTTTAACTACACCCTGGCCTTCCCCTCAAACTACCAGTTCCCTTCATCCCTCTTAAATGAGCATCTGTCCTCTCTCAAACTTTGTACATCTTGAGGTCAGAGGCGGGGCTCACAGTCTCCTCCTCTCCAAACCATTATATTGCCACTCTCTCCTAAAAAACCCCTGCTCCTGTGGCCATCTTTCCCTCCACTCTTATTGCTCTTACTACCACTTATTCGATCCATTAAAATAATTCACTGGGAGGCCATTAGACTGAGATGGCTCCAGCACCTTGTGTTCCTATTTGAGCAAACTAAAACCCAATTCAATGTAAATGTAAAACAAAACTGAAGCTTAACCAATCAGAAATCGCCAACTAACCTCTAGCTAGAGACTTTCCACAGATCAGACTCAAATAAGGCAAATGCTTAGCAGTAACCAATCAAGGAATTTATTTACTTTGCCTCCTCCCTCAGCCTATAAAAGCCTGCTGCTCAACTACTAAAATGCAGCTCTCTGAAACTTTTCTGGTTTTGAGTGCTGCCCGATTCATGAATCCTTTAAAGTTAAATAAACTCTGTTAAATTAAAAAAAAAAAGAAAATATAATGGAACTACAAGCAAAAAATAAAAAAACAAAACAACAAAAAAAGAAAATATAATGGAACTATTGTTAATTTTCTTAGGTTGATAATGGTACTGTGATTATGTAATAATGTCATTCTAAGGAGATGCATGTTGCAGTGTATAGAAATGAAGTGTTACGATATCTGAGACTTACTTTTATATGTCATAGAAAAAATTATGTAAAGAGATACAGCAAATACCTAGAACTGCTAAACCTATGTAAAGGACAGGAGTGTCATACTATTCTTTCAACTGTGTTTGAAAATATTCATAATAGAAACTTGGAAAAATAGTTGAATTCACAGGTTTGTCCTGTTTTAAAACCTAACATGTAAAAATCCAAAGGGTAAAAAAGTACAGAGAGTGATAATATATGCTAAAAAATAAACTTCCTTATCATCTAATAAAGACCTATAATGCTCATATAATTGAGGGCAAGTAGTCTTCGTGGGTCCTGGTTTTCTCAGCTGTAAAAGAAGAGGGTGGGACTTGATTCATTCACTGATTCAACACATGTTTATTAAGTGTATGTGATAGGCCAGAAAGTGACAGATATGCTTAAAATCTAATGGGGAAAATCACTAATGTCATTTCTACTTCTAAAACTCTAAGATGATTCACCCACTGTAGGATTCATTTTAACAGAAAAATTCTGAGCTCAATGTTTCTCAAACTAGCATTCATGGGTGAATTACAGGAATCTGTGAGTTCTCTATAAGAATTTAAAAGTTTTAAGTTTTGATTCTAGGATAGCATTAATAAAATCAACTAGTTCATCAGGATGACAGAATATTTCAGTGCCTACTTGCTTTCCTGTTTACAATTAAATTGGTACCAAGAAACATTTTAGTTGCCCAAGGCTAATAAAAAAAATGGTCAAAAGTAGGGAAGAGACTTGGTAGAGGAGATACATTAGCACCAAGTGAAGGCAAATAATGTCATGGTACGACATAAGACTTCATAGTAGGGTAAACAGAGAAAAATGGCAAAAGAATTGAAGCTTTGAAAGGCACATGGCAGTACCCAAAAGAATTTGTGCCACAACAGACTGCACAGTATTTGTGTTATAATTAGCAATTTAATTTAAGCAAAATACTAGTAGTCATCATATTGTTTACAGTACTAGTTTGGATGTGTTGGTTTTAATTTTCACTTGTGTCTATATCAATTTGGTTTACAGCTGTATAAAGTGTGTTTACACCTACTATTACTAGTGCATATTTAATTTATATCATAGTAAAAACAATTAAAGTCAATATTAGGAGCTTCCAAGTTGTTTCCTTTAAAAAGATCTGTTCATTACTTAAGTTTGAGAAACACAGCACTGGGGATTTAATCTGACTCGTAAAAATTTTATCCACCCATAATTTTACAGGAACATTTCTATCACTTAAAATAAGATATTATTAGTTACTTTTCGGCTCTTAAAAACATCTAAGATGAAGCTGAATTTAATTATGCCAGATGGGTTAATATATAATTTATATAGTTTGCATCTAATCAAGTAACAAAGATAAGTACATATACTGTTTATACATGCATATGAATATGTAAAACTCAAAGATTTTTTTCTCTCTCAGCTGTTGTTTCTCTAAATTGACCAGTTTTTCTGATTTTTTTTTCAGGAGATCTTTGTGGGACTGTTATTTACCTCTTTGGGTGTTAATCCAGGCACCAGCCTTGCCACAGTTTCCCAGTTGATGGTTTCAGGGATTCCAATTAATGGATAAAGGATCATGTCCAACACCATTTGATTGTTATTGTTCAGGAAATTGTTGTTTTCTGAACATCCACGACTCATCTTTTGGAACTATGAATAGGGAGGACAAACAGCTTAGTCTACATCTGAAATCCAGATGTTTTCAGAACTTTATATATAGATCAGTTATAGTTCATTCCTAAGAATTATCTGCTACCATGTAAAGGAAAAATACAACTGACCTAAAATGAATAAAGAATAATATACAGGCCAAATCTCTTCAAGTATAAAAGCATCTGAATATTATGGATTGATAGATGGATATATAGAAGAATGGACAGATGGCACAACTGACCTAAAATGAATAAAGAATAATATACAGGCCAAATCTCTTCAAGTATAAAAGCATTTGAATATTATGGATTGATAGATGGATATATAGAAGAATGGACAGATGGCTAAATAAGTGATAAAAGGCATAGTAAATTATTAATGGTAGAATCTAAGTGGTGGGTATAAGGGTGTTAACTATAAAATTAGTTTTGACTCTGCTGTATGTTCAAAATTTTTCATAATAAAATGTTGAACAAAAAAGTTGAATACAATTTATCTTCCTAAAAAAAATCCTTTTGTATGCCTGATTTATACTCTGATTAGCAATTCATGGATGGTGGAATATAACTGTAAAAAACCCAAAGCAAAGCTGGTTAAAAAGAATCATAATTTCATTCTATTCCTAAGCAATACTGCCTTTTTTTATTCTGTCAGTAAATGTCCATGCTACAAACAATGAAGGCTGAGCATACTGAATTTTTGCTGATATAATAAAATGAAACTTAATTTATTAAATTTATATGTAATAAAATGAAGCTTAAATGAAAATTAATTTGACATTTTAGGCTAAACATAATAATTGTTTTTTTTGTCATGTGATTATTAGTTAAAAGTGGTAGGGAGGTTACAATTACAACAATTGTAATTACTATTATTTCTTTTGGTGGCTGGCTGATGTGGGTATCTGAATCCTTGACCTTGGTGTTACATCACTGTACTCTAACCAACCAAGCTAACCAGCCAGCACCATTTTTACATGCTTGAAACAACTTCTCTTTGAAAAGTTCTTCTCTTCTTCCTTGTCTTCAAAAGCCATGTGATAAATGGCCCGATAAGGTTTAATCCTTACACACACACACACACACACACACACACACACACTCACAAATAAGATGCAGCATAAAATAACAGTACTTTCTAGGGTTGCACTGAGGATTATGTGAGATACTTAAAACACAGAACAGAGGCAGGAATGTAGTAAACTTTCAATAAATGTTAACTATGATTGGTACTACATAATTGTTTACATAAGACACTGGTATAGGATATCAGGTGGTCGATATCATAAAGTTACTCTACATGTGTTTGCATAAACATTAAAAACAAACAAAGAAAGAAAAACATTGAGCACTCTAAAATCATAGCTTCCTGTCAACCAGAGATGTACCTTATTGAAGAACCACGGTAGTGTAGCGGTTAAGACTGCAGATTCTGGAGCCAGACTGTCCAAGTTTGCATCCTGATTCTACCACTTAAGGTATTATCTCGTTCAGATTAATCTCTGTGCCTCAATTTCTTCATCTGTAAAACAAAAATATTAGCTAGCTCACATTCTTTTGAGGATATATAGAAAGTACTACCTGGCTCACAGTGAAGACTAATGTTTGTAGTAGTAGCACTACCATTACAGAGATCCTTGGATTAAGCGGATTCAATATAATGTGACAAATAAAAGGAGAGACAGTAACATTCCAATTAAGTATGCTGTCAACAAAATGAGTAGAGTCAACTATAGATACTTACCTAGCTTTATCATTTCTAGCAGGGCAACATGGGGCTCCAATTGTCTCAGCTATAAGGAAAATGATACTTACCTTAGGGGTTACTATAAGTCTTAAATACCAGGGTACTTCAAAAAGTACATGGAAAAATAGAATTAAAAGAGAATATGAATCTGTCCATGAATTTTTTGAAGTACCCTTGTGATACACTACATAAAGCACCCAGCATACTGTTTGGCATACAAAAGGTGCCCAATCAATAATTATTACTACTATTTTTACCTTTCCTACTTTGGCCATTACTGGCACAAAAATTTTCCAAGAATTAGTTTAATAACTGTAAAATAACTTGTACTCAGTAGAAAGTAGATTTTATGGAACCTCATTCTTTTTGAAAGAATTGATCCTCACAAAGTCTGGTGAAAAAACTTAGTGAATCCAAAAGTTATGTCCTTTCACATATCCCTGGCTGAGTTTAAGGAAAATCTTGGGAAAGCAGGCTTGGGAAAGGTCTTAGAAGTACACTGCAAGGGCCCTGAGGAATTTCTGGTCATTTTTTTCTTTAACACATTGGACCACAGTATCTCTCATGGGCTGGGCCTTCTTTGATTTCCAAGTAGAGTGACCAGCAAAAATGTTTGCTGAATTAATGAGAAAGTCACAAAACCTTAAGCGAGACTGGGATCCACAACTCATTTAAATATTTAAGTATCTACATTGTGCAAAGATGAATGGGGATCATGTCCTGCTAAGTAATTTAGTTTTGAAGCTACGTTCTTGAAGAACCTGGTTTCTCACTAGCGAATGAAGCATTGCTCTCTACATGTTTGTGTACATGCATCACCCTCTTACCATAATTTGGGAGGCATGTTAGGGCATGTGAAGTGTTTTGTTATGCTTTGTTTGGGTCTCACTAGAAAACAGTCTAAAATGGAATTCAGAGTAAGGACCCTGGGTGTTGTTTATTCTTTACCTCCAAAAAGGTTCATTTAAAATTTCAAAAACGCTGTCCACATCAAGCACTTAAAAATGTTATATTTATATTTTAAATATGATACTCATTTATGCTATACATATTTAAGAAAAAACATCTAGATGTGAAAAAGAAATTTTCTGTTGACATTTTCTTCACATAAGTGAGCAAAAGAAGATTACCCAATATTCTAGTTAAATAAATGTTCAAGAAAGCATCCTTTAGGGTCTGAATTTAAGTATGAAAGACAAAACACGGATGAATAATTCTTACTAAAATGAATAATCTAGAAATAGCTGTCACAGTGCACCTCATTCTAAGAATGAAGTGTAAATTTATTAAAAACTGTGACAATAAGAAACTTCAAAGCTCAAATTACCCTACTGATTAATCTGCTCCCATTCATGATAAAATACCAACATTTAAAAAAAGTTTAAGGTAAAATGTGTTATTTACCAAAAGCAAAAATTCTATTTGTTTTATAGATTACATTTTTTTAAGAACACACTTCATGTCTCCTCCCGCATTCCCATATCTTGGTTTATGTATATGTATTAGTAAGACTGATCTAGTCACTCCCACACCAGATAGAGGTGCATGACAGGCATCTTTTTTTTTTTTTTCCTTTTTCTTTTTTTCAAATAGAAAAGTCTCTTGTACACGGAGACTTTTTTCCTAGGCAGAGGCAAGATGGGAAGGAGGGAGGTTGTCACTGGAGCGGTCAAAGGCCTTTGGCATAACAGAGGGGGGCGATAACACTGAGTCATCCTGGACCGGGGAGAAGCCTTGTGCCCATCGTAGGCAGATGGCTTTGATCGTGAAGGAGAAAGCAAAACGACATCCCGAACCCAGGGGACGAGTAGATCAAAAGCCCTTCAAACTGAGGCTCAGAGGCTCAGTGCGCGGCGCGTCCTCAGGGCACCCCAAGACCTCAGCGCCGTCCCCCTTGCCTCCCGTAGGCGCAGAAACTCTCGGGGCCGCAGAGCAGGAGAGAGGCGGACAAAGGCGCCGGGTAGGGGGCGAGGCGGGGGCAGATGCGGGGCAGAGTCCGGGGCTCCCTCAGCTGGTGCGCGGGCGGGACCGGCTTTGGGCAGGCATGTGGAGCGGCCGGCTTGTGGGAGCGGGGCCGGCGGCTGCGCGGGGCGCGGCGGGCTGCGGGGTGTGCGTGGG